TGTGTTGTAGTGTGAGTTATGTGGGATGAAACAGGAGCATTGTTGTGCTCAGGCAGGTACAGGTGAGAAGGACAGGTAAGGAGCAGGTGAGGAGGACAGGTGAGAGACAGGTGGGGAGGACAGGTAGGAGACAGGTGGGGAGGACAGGTAGAGACAGGTGGGGAGGACAGGTAGGGGACAGGTGAGGAGGACAGGTAGAGACAGGTGGGGAGGACAGGTAGAGAGTGGGAGGACAGGTAGAGATGAGGAGGACAGGTAGAGACAAGTGAGGAGGGACAGGTGAGAGACAGGTGAGAAGGGACAGGTGTAGAGACAGGTGGGGAGGACAGGTGGGGACAGGTGGAGGGGGACAGGTGAGACAGGTGGGGAGGGACAGGTAAGAGACAGGTGGGGGAGGACAGGTAGAGACAGGTGAGGAGGACAGGTAGGACAGGTGGAGGGGACAGGTAGAGACAGGTGGGGAGGACAGGTGGGGAGACAGGTGGGGAGGACAGGTAGAGACAGGTGGGGGAGGACAGGTAGAGACAGGTGAAAGGGACAGGTAGAGACAGGTGAGGAGGGACAGGTAAGAGACAGGTGGGGAGGGACAGGTAGAGACAGGTGGGGACAGGTAGAGACAGGTGAGGGAGGGACAGGTGAGACAGGTGGGGAGGGGACAGGTAGAGACAGGTGGGGAGGGACAGGTAGAGACAGGTGAGGAGGACAGGTAGGAGACAGGTGGAGGGACAGGTAGAGACAGGTGGGGGAGGACAGGTAAGAGACAGAGTGAGAGGACAGGTGGAGAGACAGGTGGGGAGGACAGGTGAGAGACAGGTGGAAGGGGACAGGTGAGAGACAGGTGGGGAGGACGGAGTGGGGAGACAGGTTGGGAGGACAGGTAGGGGGAGACAGGTGGGGAGGACAGGTGGGGGACAGGTGGGGAGGACAGGTAGAGAGACAGGTGGGGAGGACAGGTGAGGGACAGGTGGGGAGGGACAGGTGGAGAGACAGGTGGGGAGGACAGGTAGAGACAGGTGGGGAGGACAGGTGAGACAGGTGGGGAGGACAGGTGGGGACAGGTGGGGAGGGACAGGTAGAGACAGGTGGGGAGGGGACAAGGTGGAGAGACAGGTGGGGAGGGACAGGTAGGGGACAGATTGAGAGGGGGACAGGTGAGAGACAGGTGGGGGAGGGACAGGTGGGGACGGGTGGGGAGGACAGAGTGGGGGAGACAGGTTGAGGGGAGGACAGGTGGGGACAGATTGGGGAGGGACAAGGTGGAGACAGGTGGGGAGGACAGGTGAGAGACAGGTGGAGAGGGGAGAGTGGGGAGACAGGTGGGGAGGGACAGGTAAGAGACAGGTGGGGAGGACAGAGTGAGAACAGGTGAGGGAGGAGGACAGGTAAGAGACAGTGAGGGAGGACAGGTAGAGACAGTGAGGGAGGACAGGTAAGAGGTGGGGAGGACAGAGAGAGACAGGTGGGGAGGACGAGTGGGAGACAGGTGGGGAGGACAGGTAGAGACAGGTGAAGGGGACAGTTAGAGACAGGTGAAGGTTTGTACTGTATAGAGATAAAGAGACCTTAGCCTGCCCTTGGTCCCACACATTGTGCCCCTGACCAAACACCTCAATAATATATGGTACAGTGTTGACCTTATGCACTAGTTTATGCCTATCTGGCTATGAGAAATAAAGGTAGAACAATATTTCCTTTATCCTTCGGTGTTTAATAAAATTGCTATATAAAACCCTGTATCCCACTGAAGTGTAACGTTATGGTACTGACCACTACAGGTAATGGTCTCTGGCTGACAAAAATAGTTGACATGTTAAGTTGTTTCTCTCATTATTTCCGGATTATGTCACATAGGAGGCGTTACATAGCGTAGTTGTCTAAATATAATGTTATGCTTGTGACACTTGTGAGGCCTCCACAGTGAGTGTGGGGGTCACTTTCACCAGCCAGTAATAACACCTACAGTAGCTATACCGATCTGCAGCTTGATACAGCAAGGTGCAGCTCGGGATAGTATGGTCAATTGTGTGCAGCAAAGTGCAGCTTAGTTACAGCAAGTTACAGTGTATATTATATTCAACCAAGAACTGCAGCTGCTCATAGCAAACTGCACACCTGTACAATAAACCTGCACCTCGGTACAACAACGTGGACCGCGGTACAACAACGTGGACCGCGGTACAACATATCAATACCTTAAAAGTTAATATTTTGATTGGTGTGGACTATGGGCGTCCCTCACACCTTAGTTCTATGAAAATATCTCAAACTTTGGTGTAAAACTAAGCAGTCGTATCTCTCTCCATCGTTATTATTTACTACTATACTGGGTGGTACATCAGGTGGGTTGATGCAGACTGATTACTGAGCTGTCTGGGGGCGTCTCACACACACACACACACACACACACACACAACCATGCAGTGTCTCAGGTGTGTGTGTATGTATGTGTGTGTATGTGTGTGTTTTGTTTTACTTGACGTCTTATGCTGGAAGAGGAGGAGGTCACTTAGGCCTTGTGGTGGAAGACGTGAATCAGTCGTCGCTATAAATCACCTCAAGAGATTCTATTGTATATCCAAGAGACCTAAATGTCAGGTGATTAAAATAGACCCTTGACTTGTAACAGATATTATACCAAAAATATATACCAGGTGATTTACAGCAGCCCCAGGGACAGCTCAGGACAGTTTTACGGTAGCCCATCTTAACATCATGGACTTGAGAGGACCAGGAACACACACACACACACACACACACACACACACACACACACCTACATCAACCCACAACAAACAGATGTACACACACAAACACACTCCAAAAAAAGTATCTTTACGATTTTGTGTGAGACATTATGAAACAACGGATGAAGGATTTTGACAACCCTACCGAGACAACAGGAGTCACAGTGTTCATTGTGGAATTGATCGACTCCCTCCGTGAAGATACTTTTTTGGAGTGAGTGTAAACGATGTATTACAAAACGCTTTCACAGGAGTTGTTATAGTTGTATTGTATTGTAGGTACATAGTTATGAGGCTAAGGACTTGCACGAACGCCTGGCAGAGTAAATAATCACCACTAAAAGCGAAAGCAACGAGTAATGTTAATAATAATAATAATGATGATGACAATAATAATAATAATAATAACAATAATAATAATAATAATATTAATAATAATAATAATAACAATAATAATAATAACAATAATAATAACAATAATAATAATAATAATAATAATGATGATAACAATAACAATAATAATAATAATAATAATAATAACAATAATAATAATAATAATAATAATAATAATAATAATAACAATAATAATAGTAATAATAATAATAATAATAATAATAATAAATAGCAAGAGTAATATGTAACCCAGAAGCAAACTTGAACTTAATTGATAACTAATAAATAAAAAAGTTTGAATCCACCTTAACACCGTAATGGAGATTGAGTCGTTAGGTTAGGTGTGGTTAGGTTAGGTTACGTTAGGGTTTCGTTAGGTTAGGTAGGCCACAGTATGTATCCCTGATAATGCTTCACTGTGGTGGTGTGGGATAGCTGACTCGAACCCCGGCACCCAGTCTGTTACGACACCGATTCCCCAACACACATCAACACGCTACCACCTCCTCCTCCTCCTCTCCTCCTCCCTCCTCTTCTTCTTCTTTTCTCTTTTCTCCACCTCCTCCTTCTTCTTCTTCTTCTCTTTCTCCATCTCCTCCTCCTCCTTCTTCTTTCTTCTCTTTCCTCCTATCTCCTTCCTTTTTCCACTTCCCTCCTTCTCCTCCTCTCCCTTCTTCTTCTCTTTTCTCCACCTCCTCCTCCTCCTCCTCCTCTCTTCCTTTCTCTCTTCTCCATCTCTCCTCCCCTCTCTTCTTCTTCTTCTCTTTCTCCCACCTCCTCCTCCTCCTCCTTCTTCTTCTCTTTCTCCCACCCTCCTCCCATCCTCCTCCTCCTCCTTCTTCTTCTCTCTCCATCTCCTCCTCCTCCTCCTCCTTCTTCTTCTTCTCTTTCTCCACCTCCCCTCCTCCTCCTCCTCCTCCTTCTTCTTCTCTTTCTCCCTCCTCCTCCTCCTACCTCCTTCTCCACCTTAACATTATCTGTCATCCACAAACACACA